TATCCTTACTAGGATGACCTGCTAAATAATACGGACACAACTAGGCATTTATCAAAGTATTTTAAATTGCAATAATTTGAATGAAAACCATGCAAGTTTCAAATGAGAACATAATGAGACACAGAGGAAATAGGGCCCAGTTTTCCTGAGCTACAACAAACTGACCATTTAATGGTACAGACTTGATTAATTTCCTGCCGATGTTCAATTACCTCTGATAGGTGTCTAATGTAATATAAATAGGCAGGCTGAAGTTGCAGCCATGGGACCGTACTCTTAATGTATGTTGGAATCTCTCTCATAATCACCTGTGTATGTTTCAGTTCCAATTTGTTTTAATTCAGAGCTGCAAGACAGAAAGGTGATAGAGATGTAAAGCGTAGTTCCATACATTTTAATCCTGAATGTCAAAGAGAAGCATTACATTTCTGGAGATAAATCCTGTAACATTTATAATGTACAAATATTTTATATCACAGACAGATTTATACTAAACTGGGACAACATAACCTCCAATTCAGCCAGAGATGGCTAAGGGTGTTCTTTCTTAAAAAGCTACATTTACATAGAGCCACAAACTTAAATAATCAATGGTGTGGAAATATCATTCTCTATAATGTCTTATTTTAACTCCTTCTGCAAAAGAAAAATCTGGGGTGCATACACATATAGAGTTGACTATGAAGAAAAACACATGATTGAACTGAGATACTTTAAATGTCAGTTTGAGTCAAATGATCCATTACTAACTGAATTTCTTTTTACCTTCTTACTTCAAATAACACATTGTTTGCCTGAATTAAGCCAGTTTATTTGTGCAGAGATAGTCAAGGTCGAAAAGAAAGTGATTCCACGTATCACTTTACGTTGTAAAGTTGTATGACATATCTTTGTAGACTCCTGAGTTAGCACTTATTTTAGATACATTCTTCATTGTTTTTAAATGTAATATGTCCAGAAAGTCCCCCCAAAATGTCAGTTTTAGCCAAACCACATTTATAAATGTCACTTTGGTATTTTCATATTTCGGGAGTTTATGTTCAACTGATTTTAATAAGGTTTCACTAATTTACAGTATAGCCAAGTACCATGTAATTTGGGAAAAAGCCTATACTATGTTTCTTGGAGTTTTGACTGAATTACCTCTTTAATCCATTTGAATGAACGATCAAAAGGCACAAACTTTAGCATGAAAAAGGCTTTTATTTACTAACTGGCATAAATGATTAAAGAAATCAGCTACAAATATGATTTCAAAAGTAACATATTCTTTATAAGTACACTTATTCTATTATCTAAGCAAGCATTTAAAGGATTTGTACTGTACATAAAGAAATGCATTATGTGTCATTTTAGACATTTAGAATATTCAGAGATCTTTTGAAATTATAAAATATATGTTCGGAACATAGGTGTTTTGTAAATGTTTTAGATTGTGATTGGGGATGAAAAAGTTAGGTTTCCAAACTTATATTCTCATTATGTAGTAAATCATAAATTATATTTATAGTCACACCATTTTCTTTCTTACAACATTTTATTGTAATTACACATTATTTTTCAGAACACTATTGCAATACCTCTATAAATTGGTGCTCTGATTGGACAATTATTTCTCTCTTAAGAGTGGCCAAAATGGCTGGTGGCTCATGCCTGTAATCCCGACAGTTTGGGAGACTAAGGCAGGAAGATTGCTTGAGACCAGGAGCTGAAGAGTAGCTTGGGCAACATAGTGAGACCCCATCTTCACAAAAAAAAAAAAAAATTAAAAATGAGCTGAGCATGGTGGCATATGCTTGTAGTCCCAATTACTCAGGAGGCTGAGATGAGAGGATCTCTTGAGCCCTGGAGGTAGAAGTTGCAGTAAGTCAAAATCACACTACTACACTCCAGTCAGCCTGGGTGATGTAGTAAGACTCTGTCTCAAAAACAAACCAAAAAAAGTGGCTAAAAAAATGGTGCCAGCTTTATTTACACATATATTACATATATCTTATTAGTTTTTCATCATAAAACAACTGTAATTCCAAAGCTCTTTTGATAACCATAAGGTAACATGGCTATTAAATATTAAAGTGTTTAATAGCTGAAATATTTAATAGCTGGGGCTTGCAGGTTTATGTTGGCATTTTGAGTGAACCTCAGTTCAGAGGTGTTATATTGAAAAGTTTCAAGTAAAAAGCACTTTACACTTTTTTGGGGGAATGGCTTTCATGCCTAAAACATAAAATTGTTCTGATGTTTAACTCATTTTCCCAATGCACCCAAAAAAAGATACAATCTGTATCTCATTTTCCCAATGCACCCAAAAGAGATACAATCTCTTTTTGGAGAAATTAGATCTCCTCTAATTTCTCCTCCAGAAGGACATATTGTCTCTGCAAAACGTTCCTGTGGGGAATCTAGAGTTGCTGCAGAACTCAACTGGACATCTTGGCACATGCCATCTCCCTCTCCCCTCCTCCATCTTGGGCCCCAGGAGGTGGAAAGGCCCCCGATGGTTTCTGGCTCCCACAGCCCTGTATGGTGGATATCATGTATGGTCATAACTAGGAAGAAATCTTTGATGTCTTCCACATGAGCTACTATTTGGTACATAGTAAACATTGAAAAAATGTTTGTTATAACCACATAAAATTTACGAACGGTGCCAAATGAAGTTTCAGAAAAGTCTTTCTCCCTTGAGAGTTGCAACCTTCCTGTCTGCCTCTTTTTATCTCAGTGATTCAAAAGAGACTATTTTTCTTTTTCTTTTTTGAGATGGAGTCATGCTCTGTCGCCAAGGCTGGAGTGCAGTGGCACGATCTCAGCTCACCGCAAACTCTGCCTCCCCAGTTCAAATGATTCTCCTGCCTCAGCTTACTGAGTAGCTGGGATTACAGGCACCCACCACCATGCCCAGCTAATTTTTGCATTTTTAGTACAGACAGTGTTTTACCGTGTTATTCAGGCTGGTTTCAAACTCCTGACCTCATGATCCATCTGCCTCAGCCTGCCAAAGTCCTGGGATTACAGGCGTGAGCCACCACTCCCTGCCAAGACTATCATTCTAAGTGAAGTAACTCAGGAATGGAACACCAAACAACATGCTCTCACTGACATGTGGGAGCTAAGCTATGAGGATACAAAGGCATAAGAATAATACAATGGACTTTGGGGACTTGCGGGGAAGATGGGAGGGGAACTAGGGATAAAAAACAAAACAAAAAAAAACAGAAAATACGGTGCAGCATATACTGCTTGGTTGATGGATGCACCAAGATCTCACAATCTCCGCTAAAAGAACTTACTCATGTAGCCAAATACTACCTGTACCCCAACAACTTACAGAAAAATAACTTTTTTTAAAAAAAGGCCTCTTGCTTTGTCTTGCTTTCTCATCCTCCTGATCCATGGAGACCTGAGTTCTGCAGCCATTTTTTCCCATGCAGCTGTAAAGGGCTCATAAGTGTCCTGCTTCTTATTTGCATAAGAAACAGCATCAAAGCCTTGACATCAAAGGATGAACCCTCCAATTGGATTTCCTGGGGGCTTCAGGAAGCCCACCAATTGTTGTGTCAAATTGGTGTATTTAAGATGGGGTAGCTGAAGGTAGAAGCATTTTCTAACAAAGGTGGGAATTTTATTAGGTGGAGCTTTGGTTATTCATTATCACCTGGTTGTGGGACTTTGTATTCCTCACACCTTCTTTCACTTATTTTTGACACTATTCTATCTGAAGACAAGTATAGCCTCTAGGTTCAAATCCAGCGGAATCACCTAGGAATATGAGAGTTGGATGTCAGCTGTCATAAATCAACAATAAAAGAAGGGAAGAATTGAGAATTGATTTCCCTTCCCTACTCTAGGAGTTGATAAAATAAAGCATCCTTTTCTCACGGAGCACGGAAGGTAAATCACAGCACTTGCTTTGCTTGTGGAAGAAACAATTCAAGCTGAGCAAATGACTTCTCATTTCAAAATGTGAATACTTATTAATTAAATATTATTTAAGAGAAATAATAGCCAAGCATGGTGGCTCATACCTGTAATTCCAGCACTTTGGGAAGATGAGGCAGGAGGTTTGCTTGAGCCTGAGTTTGAGACCAGCCTGGGCAATATGGTGAAACCCCATCTCTACTACAAATACAAAAAAATTAGCTGGGAGTGGTGGCACATGTCTGTAGTTCTAGGTATCTGGGACGGTGAGGTCAAAGTATCACCTGAGGCTGGGGAGCGTCAGGCTGTGGTGAGCCATGATGACGCCACTGCAATCCAGCCTGGGTAACCTGAGTGAGACCCTGTCTTATAAAAATAAAGAAGAGTAATAAGAGCTGGCTACCACATGCCAGCTACTATACCAGGAGCTCTACATCATTCATTCAGTATTTTGAAGAATCATATAATGTTAACGATCTACAATTTATAAATGAGAAAACCGTATCTCTGAGAGGTCAAGTAACCTAAAGGCACAGAGCTAGAAAAAGCCCAGCTAAAGCATCAAAGCAGGGTTGTCTAAAGTGAAAGTTTTGGTTTTCTAAAAGAGAACTCAGGGAGTCATTGGAGCACTATGGGCAGGTTCCATTTCAGTCACAAAACGTCCACCAGAATGCCTAGAAGAAAGCAGAGTGGATTCTTCTTCTTCTTCTCTCTCCCTCCAGTCTTTCATACACCCTCCTTATCTCTGCTTATTTATCTACAGGTCAAAGGCTCCTTTCTCATTACTTTGGTGTAATTGGCCCTCCACATAGAGGTAGAAACTCTGGGATGCTTGGTGCTGTTTACAAATGTCTTTTACAGATTAAAAACACCTTTGGAATTCAACCTCATTTCAATTCAGCATTTACAAGGTACTTCGTAGCTCAAATGTTCGTGGTAGGAACTGTACCCCCCAAAAAAGTATATCATTGTTTTCAGATTATTCAATTACTATGTTCATTAAGTGTGTAAGCAGGTATGTTTTGACATGTTTCTTATTGGATTCAAAATAACCCCAAATTTTTGCAATAGTAAGACACTTGTTTTACTCGAGAGTAAAACAATCTTATTTTTAAATTAGGTGATTTTAGGTACTTTTAAAAAGTATGATATTCCATTGTATTCTTATGACTCCATTAATGTGTTGCAAACAGGCTCCAACATTTGAAAAATCCAGAATGTTTTCCCATAATGCGGGAGGTTTTCTGCTTTGATGATGGACAAAGGCCACCATCATTTTGAAAATTTTGCCTTTTTCTTCAAGGAATCACATCTTCTAGGTTAGAACATTTTTTCTCTAGGTAGTCACAATGGACAGAGAAATTTTCAGCAGGTCATTTCTGATCTCCAGAAATGATTTAAAGAGGAAGTTATAGTTCAGTTTTTTCAAGTTAGCATTTCTTGCTTCTTGGTTCTCCTGATTATCGGGCTGCTCTGGGGCCTGAACTAAAACATAGGAAGAAAAAAGGGAAAGTCAGCGAATGTACTCTAGCAAGTGATGCCTTGCTTTCAGGGAGCTGTGTCTGGAAAGACTTTGTTTAATATTCAATGTGCACATCCTGGGTAAAAAAAAATGGTACGTTTAAGAAATTGTACTGTTTATAACAATGCAGGCACCCAGTTTTCCATTTCAGCCACAGATACATGCAACATTCAAGCTCCTGCAGAGAGGCAACCAGCATCTATTGTTTAAAAAGATTTAAAAAAGAATTCGGATTGCTCTTTTCCATTTTGAATCTGCGTGCCAAATGATAGGGACCAATATTCGTCTTCTTTTTCTAAAGTCAGAACGACACATGAAAGAACCTAAAAACGCATTTCTTAAAGAGACTGAGTGCAGTTATTTTAAATAATTTATGCACTCACACACATATATACATCCCCCGAGTGCATTTTTTTTTTTTTTTCCTTTTTACTTGTGTGTAATCACTAGCTACAATAACTGAAACCCACTTCTATGGACGGTGACATTTAAGCAAATCTTGTATCTAGAAACCGTAATGCCCAGCGTCTCGCACAAGCTGTTCCTCTGGGCCAACAACTCACACAGCCGCCGCCCAGCGCCTCGGCAAGCGCGCTCGTCTTAGGAAAAGTAAAAGTTGCTCCTGTCATTAGCTCGGGTCGAGTTTGCATGAGAACCCCAGTGCAGCTCTCGAGCCAAGGGGGAAAACACGATCCGCTGCGGAGCCCAGTGACCTGAAAGCGTAGCAGTGACTCGAGACCTGTCCTCTCCTCCACGCCGCCCTACTCCCCTCCCGCTTTATTTAGCATCCGCCTTTCCGGGAGCAGCCACTCAAGCAATCCCTGGAAGGTTTGCTAGGAGTTTCTCCTTGAAACGTTTTCCGATCCCATCTTTTGAATTCCAGAAGGCGAGAGTCACGACAGACTCCGGGACCTCTCGAGTTCTGCCCGCAGCCCCACGGTAGGAGTAGCCTTCGTGCACGAGACTTGGAGGTGGCTGAAAAGCTCTCCCAATCTCGCGCACCGCCTCTCTGCGGGGTTGCGGATGCGGGTTGCGGTCTTTGTCCGCTCGCCCTTCCTCCGGGGCCGCGCGCTTCCGCGTCTGGCCGGCAGGTGGTGCGGTTGGCTCACGATGAGCCGCGGCCTGGGCTGAAGAGGCGCCTCCACTTCCTCGCGGTCACTCCTCCGCGGGGACCCAGGCTCCCCAGGAAAACCCAGTCCTGCCCTGGAGGGAGTTAGAGGAGGGGCGGCCTGGGAAGAGGAAGGGAGGCCTCGTCGCTAGGAATCAGGGTATTTGCCACCGTCTGGGGAAATGCACAGCGTTGGGGACCGGTTCCCGGGCCATCGGCTGCGCTGCCATCGCGGCACCAGGCTTAGGTGGCCACGTCCACGGCTCGGGCGTCGGGGGACAGGCGGCAGCCCGACGGTGCCGGCGCCCCCGGGCCGTGAGCAGCTGCGCGGGGCTCTGCGGGTCCTGCCGCTAGCCGTCGTCTCCCGGGGCAGGAGGGCCGTCCCCGCCAGGGCGGAGCGGAGAGTCGCAGCAGCCGCTCCGGGCAGGTCCCGGTCCCCGTGTGCGCTGTCTGGCAGCTGCGGGTCCCCGCACCCACACTGACGCTTTTCGCTTCCACCCCCGCCGCTCTCGGACAGGCTAGGCCGGGTCTCAGGGACTCCCCGACACCCCCGGTCCCCGGAAACCCGCAGCTGGTGCCCCGCAGCCCAAGGCCGTCTCGGGGCGTCCTGGGCCCCGGGCGAGGTCCGCGGGGTGCTCACGGGCACGGGACCAACGGGGACTTCCTTGTTGCCAGAAAGTCCTTGGTTCAGTCCCTGGAGACAGTGACGGACGCTGCTGCGGGCTGGACGCTGGGGACCGAGTAGGTCCCTGCTCTCCAGGCATCTGGGAAGCCAGGGAAGAAACGAGTCATCCAGCCACAAAATCGCCCCAAAGAGCATTTCGGAGGGAAAGCGCCGTAAACACGAAACAGGGCAAGGTGGCAGAGGGTGGCGGTGGCAGGCGCGCGTGTGCAGCTCGGCCCGGGCGCGCGGGACGCAGACACGTCGACCCTCCTCAGGAACCAGCCGCAGAGGGACAGGTCAACTTAGAGACTTCTTTTATTTCAATAAAAGAGCGTTTTCCTCCATCTCAAACCGCCCGTGGTGGGAGAAAGGGTTGCCGACCTCTTCTTGGGCTCCCCTCGGTCCATTCAAAGCCTTTCGAAGCTCCCTCCACCTTCCAGGGGCTCGACCTTCGAGGTGACGTGGGGGATCCCGCCGGCTCCCTCCGGCGGGCGGGGGCAGGGATCCGGCAGCGCTAGCCCCCTTGAGCCCCGGGAGACCGCGCGCCCCGCGGAGGCCGGAGGGGGCGGAGCCTGCGCGGTGGGGGCGTGGCTTCTGCCGCCCCGTATGCGCCGCCATTGGCCGCGGGCCCTGGACTGGCGGGCTCACGTCACCGGCCGGGCCCGCCCCCTTGGCAATGTCTTCAGCCCGCTGCTCTCCTAACTTCAGCATTTATTCCACTGGGAGAGAAGCGGCAGGAGCAGCGTTGGCACCGGCGAACCATGGCTGGGATTTTCTATTTCGCCCTCTTTTCGTGTCTCTTCGGGATTTGCGACGCTGTCACCGGTTCCAGGGTGTACCCCGCGAATGAAGGTAAGAGCGGGACGGCCTTTCTGTGGTCGGGGACAGCGAGGGGCCATCGCGGGTGAGGGGTCCTCAGGAGCGCAGGGCTGGCTGGTGCGGGGGGCGCCCGGCGTGAGTGCGTCCGGATTCGGGAGAAGGGGGCCGGGGCTCGGGGATGGGCGAAGGGGCAGCGGGGAACTGCCCGGCGGCCTGTCCCGAGGCGGTGACCCGTGCACGCGGCGGATCTGTCCAAGTTTGTAAGGAAAGGCCAAAGTTTATCAGCATCCGCCGGCGAGGCCCGCTCAAGGCGCCCCGAGGGGATGCACAGAAGCCAACGCCAAGATTAAAAAAAAAAAAAAATTACGAGAACCGCGTCCTCCCCAGAGCCAGCCCGGGGTGAGGGGGAAAAGCAGCCTGGAGCACAGTGAGAGGGCTTGGTGCTCCTGGGTTCTTGTGAAAGCCTTTCGAGCTCTGGTTTCTGCAAAGTTTCCCGAGCCCTGCTCTTCTCGGGACCCGGCTGCGGGGCCTGCTCCGCAGCGCAGCGGTCGTGGCGCGGCTCGTCAGACGCCAGTGACCTGATTTCTAGCACCCGGCGTCAGACACCTTTCTCCTCGTCAAGCCCAGCGCCCCGAGGGTGCAGTTGCGGGCCTGAGGGGCCGGAGCTCTTCACCCCGCAGACTTGGGGAACCCGCGGGCAAGTTGAAGGCAGTCGAGTTTTTGCTTTTCGCCCCTGAATTGCACACTGTTTAGAGCTAGCGTGCGGGATCGACGGGATCCAGCTAGGTGCTCAATTTTCTGTGCATCGGTTCGGACGTTCTGGGAGGATTGTATGTGCCTGTGTGTCTGTATCGGGAGGTGGGGGAGGTGATCATTTAGTTTGTGAGGAACCCAGGGAGAGGCGACGTGTGTGTGCGTGTCTGTGTGTGCGTGTGCGTATCTGTGTGCGTGTGCATATCTGTGTGTGTATGCATGTATGTGTGTGTGTGCGCGCCCGTGCGTTCAACTGCGTGTGTGTAGGTGCCCGAATGTGTGTGCGTTCAACTGCGTGTGTGTAGGTGCTGCGTGTGTGTAGGAAGCGGCCGCGGAGAATTGTATGTCCCTTCGCAAGTGTCCTGAATGTGTGCGCGTGTGTTCCAGTGTATGTTCGTTCTGTGTTCCAGCATATGCTCGTGCTCCGGCCTGTGTGCATCTAGTCTCATATCCGTCTCTCATTCTTCTCCCTTCTTGCATCCATCTATCCATCCTTCCGTCCCTGCATCTATCCATCCATCCATGCATCCTTCTGTCTCTCCGTCCATCCGTCCGCCCGTCCATGGATCCATCAATAACGCATCCATACATCTATCCGTCCGTCCATCCATCCATTCCTCCATCCATCCATCCATTCATTCAAATCTCCATCTCTCCAGACATCCGTCCATCCATCCCTGTGCAATCTATCATTTTCTCCGTTCCGAAGGAGGGAGCCAAAAACCAACTTAGCCTTGGCTGGGCAGCCAGTACTCAGAGCTCTCCAGACGGAGGCTTCGAGAGATTTATGCACCTGCCCGCAGACGTCGCTTGGGAGGAAAGGAGCTCTCTCTCCCTCTGGGTCTCCCCTCTTCTTCCGACGTGGCTTCTGGTGGTTCTTGTGCCCTCTCGGCCGCCGCCGCCCCAAGGTCTCTGGGGTTATTCATTCGCCTGAGCGGAATCGTGGATCCCGCGTTCTCCTGGCCACTTCGCACACTTGTTAGGACGTCCCCTGAGACCTCTCTCGCCCCAGATGAAGAGACTGTTTTCTTTCTTTTTTCACCCTGTTTTTGCTTTTTCTTTTGGAAGAAAAACTTGGGAGCCCAAGACAAAAAGGCGCTGAGAGCCCTAGGCTAATGTTGAAGGGGAAGGGGGATGTCTGTTCCCCTCCCCTCCCCCACCTTCCCCTTAAAAATTAATTCATTTTGTTGCTTTTTATTCCCATCACGTTTCCTTTCTCCCTTTTACCCTCCCTTTCTACTCCCTCCCTTTTTTTGTAAATTGGGTCTTATTGTTCCCTTTGTGTCCCTAATCCACCTTACATAAATCCAAATGGATGTAGCGGGCTTTTCTCTGGGGACGGAGAAGAGAGAATGGATGCGGGGCGGGGGGGCGGGGGGGGGGCGGGAACTCCAGGCGGGAGCGACCCAGGGAAGGCTCTACATTTTAAAATCATTAACAGACCCCAGGAATTCAGACTCCCAGGGAAAACCAGGGGAAAGAGACTGATTTTTAACTCCATTGACTTTGAGGCAAAATGAGCGGGGAAGTGGGCAGAATTCAGGGGTCTGGGGGTAGCTTGAGAGTTGGGGTGCACTTGAGCACGGATGAGGCCTTCCCATTCCCACCCCTCCCCCAACCTGAAGAATCAGCTTGGCTGATCAAATTAATAACCCAGTGGTTCCTTTGAGGTGGGCCTTTCGACCCCCAAGACTGCAGATCTCGGTGGGAAAGAGGGGTTTCGAATCACTGCGTCCCTTTGAATGTTCCCCGTACCTAGCGCTCTTCTAGCCGGAGCGCGGTACCGCAGCTGGGTGGGCTGTCCTCCCTTCCCCGCCCCCACTCTTAGGTGTAGCACAAGCACACTCGAGCCGTTAGGCAGCACTCCATACCTAAAATTCAAGCCAGTGATTTCCTATGGCTGGAAGACAAGCCTCTGATTGTCCCCCGACACATCTTGAGAAAGAGAAAGTACTTTAGGTGCATTTGCATTCTGATTTCACACATCTGGCATTCCCCCTTTCTGAAACTTTGATATTTAAAAAAGCAGCGGATACCGTATTCAGGGACTATTTACTTGATGGTGAAGAGGAAAATGTTAGGGAGAGCCTTTTCCTGACCCTTTTGGTAGGATACTCTCTGATAGAAGAGAGAATTCACTTGTGGCTCTGTCACCCTGATGAGTTATGTGGTCATCTGACACTTACAAAAACAAATAATTCTGGTAGATACCAGACAGAGATGAATGCAGATTTTGCTCTGGAGTGTAACTGCTGTACGTGGATGTATGTATCTTTTTGAATTGTACTTGAGATTCTCTATTCATCCTTTTTAGAAAAATGAATCAACTGAGTCCTAGGATGGAATTTTAAATGCTAAGCAAGTTAAATAAATAAGAACCTGCAGATTTAAAGAGGGGGAGAAGATCAAATGAGTAATGATTATTTACGTAAGTGAGCCCAAGTTTAGGTTTTGATCAGTGTTGGATATGTGCACCCTCAGCACATATGGAAATGCTCAGGCAAATGGTTTTTGTGTTATTGGCTTTTTGCAATTGGAAATTAATCTATTTTTCTTTCTTTCTTTCTTTCTTTTTTTTTTTTTTTTTTTTTTTTTTTGCAGTTACATTATTGGATTCCAGATCTGTTCAGGGAGAACTTGGGTGGATAGCAAGCCCTCTGGAAGGAGGGGTAAGTCCTGAGTTGCTCTCAGATCCGAAGGGTAAAAAAAAGAGTGATTAGCAACTTTCTGAGACTCCTAATGGCTTGATTCTTGTTGATTGTGGTGAGGGGGTCAGATTTCCGCTGTGGCCTATGAAGTGAATTACGCTTTGTTGGAGAAATCCTATACTCCCTTTGGATAACTCTGTCATGGAAGAACTAGAAACCAAAAGGGCAGAAAGAGGTTTCAAAATTAGGAGACTGGTGGAGGCATAGACTTAGATGCCTATTTAAAACTAAAATACCGACAGGAAATATGATCCAGAGACCAAATAAGAATTTATGCCTATTACTGTGATGGCCATGAAGTCCTGACAGGGTTAATTTAAGAGCAATTGTCCTACTTCCAGATGAAAAAAAGGAATCAATAAAGATACGACAGAGAAGACATTTCTAATTGTACCTGCATGAAGTGCAGAAAGGCTCTGTACCTTGCTCTCACACTCCTACATCAGCTGCTGTTCTCTTGCACACTGAGAGGCAGTCAAGTGAAATTGTCTCAGAAAAACCCCAAGCTTGTTCATTAATGGTGTTAAATAGGAAAAGTTTAAGTGTCTGGGGTCTTGAATCTTGGGGACTGAGTAGGCTGGATTATACGGTTTGAAAAAAGCATCATTTCATTTCTTCTAGAATTTGTAACACTTGTCCTCACTGCCTCCATCTTACTAGGTCAATAGCCACATTCTCCTACTCCCCCTAAATAATCAGGCAGAATGAATCAGCTTTGGAAAGAAAACAGTACAACATGCAACTGACTTCTGCCAAATCAAAATAACTCTCAAATCCTTTAAAAAGTAAGCAAATCATCCTACCTGCACAGGCTTGATAGTTTATGGCTGAGTCAATTGATTAAAAGCAATAGGGGTGAAAGATTAGAAGTCTTTACTAGGCAAAAACTGTAATGTTAGAACATAGCACGGGCTCCACACCCAGCCATTGAATAAAGAATGAAGAATTTTAAAATAAAGATTCATAGAGTCTGTTATCAAGGACATATTTCAGAACTAAGACTAAGTAAGAAAATAATCATGAAAATGGAGAATTTTAGGCTGTCTTGTTCAAAGCAGGTTTTGTAATCCACGTGAAATAAAAGAGATTGCCCTGTCTTTCTATTTTTCTGCCTGAACTTGACTGCCATTGGTTTGTTCTCTGCTGAAATATTCTAGTCTGCCCTCAAAACCATCTTTTTAAAGGAGGGAGGAGTGATTGGCAGGCCTCTGGCAGTGTAGACAGGCTGTATTCACCACTGATTGCAGGCAATTGCCCTCATCCTTTGAATGTGAAGAAAGGTACAGCTTTAT